GGAAAAAATTAGAGACCACCTTCCATTTTAAGCATTTTATGTGTTGAAACAGTGTCCAGACATGTTGGAACGTATCACCAATGACTGCCCTTGATTGATTTTATATACATAGTCAAAACAGCCATTAAGTACAAGTTATTCACATTCAAGAGATATTTCTGAGGTGATTAGATATAAGATGATGCACTTGCATAAAGAGAGGAACATATGAGAGGAAATAATGAGTTTCCAAAAATTATTTTAAAATATAGTGAAAATGAGACACCCATGCAAGACCTTGTAGACTACCAAAACTGTCATCGTCAGATAAACAGTACTTAAAGTTTTCATCTTTGAGAGAGAGGAGAAAATCAAGCTCCACTCTTGCTTCAGATCTGTTTCTGTCCATCCTTCCATTGTGAAAAGACAAGGAGTCTGAAAGGATGTGTAGCTGTCAAGAAGACTTTATTGAGAAAAGGTAATAGGAAAAAAGAAAATTTGCAAATCTACCTGCTGGTGCTATCACAGCAATGGATTGACCACCTCAGAGTCCAGACCTTAACATCATTGAATGTGTTTGGGATTACTTAGACTGTGTGAAGCAAAAAATGCAACCAACTTCTCAGACTGAACTTTGGAGGTGTAGAAAAATGTCCTTGCAGATTTCTTTGAAAAACTCACACAAATGTCCAGAAAAGAATAGAAGCTGTAATAAATTATATTTAGTTGTTGAAGCTTCTGGATAATCTTCTTTTTCCCTGACACTGATAAATAAATAACTTGTACTTAATGGCCATTTGGACTGGAAATGAAATAAATGAAGGGTGGTCTCAGACACATCAGGCCTCTACTTTACCGACAGCATGCATTTATAGTTGTTGTTCGCTGTAAGAAGCAGTGTGACGGTACAATTTGTACTTTGTTGAGAGAAATATACAATAACTAGTATTAAACAATAAATTTCATTATATTAACATGATTTAATTCAGAATTTTAGTACATATCTGTCGTACAATACTCACCTCTTAGCATTATTTTGAAGATCTGCTTTTTTCTCCTCGATCTCTTTCCCAGAATTCATCCCTCGCTCACTCATGCACCATCCTTTCCAGGCCTTCTCACTTTTCAAGTTATGATAAATTCCTGTAATTTACTTAGGTTTCAGCTTCTCGAGAGAGAAAAAGACACGATCAATGTATTGTTATGTCCACTAAATGCAGTGAAGGCCGAAACGATTTGTTTCCTTACATTCTTAGTAGCCATAGAGATCTGTTCACTTGGTCAAACAGCGTCACAGCTGAAGGTGTGGAGACTTTAAAGGCCATATATCAACATAGTAGCAGCAAGCAGCACTGCTTAAAGGCCCTACTGCATGCTGTACACCTAGTGGCAATTGTACACCCATGACTTGCGCTCAGTTTGCTGTAAACCGCTAGTGCTGGTATGATGATAAATGACACCACAAGCTCAGGGCCAGTGCAAACAGATTATATGTCCTGTAAACCAGTTTTTTTTTGTTTTTTTTTTAGCATGGCTTCTACATTGACATTTACAACTCAATAAAAGCTTCTGCTCAACTCAAAATACAACTTATGCACTGGGGTGTTTTACTGACCAGTTTATTGGATAGCCAACTTAAAAAGGAATTAAAGATAAGACCGAGAAGAATTGTGGCTTACACGTGTATTCCTCAGATATACAAGGAAACACCCATGACTCTACAGATCTCATCAAACTGCTTCGTTTGGTTGATATATATAAATACATTTTATTGGTAAAGTATGTGTATTAGGTACATTAGTGACATTCAAAACTGTGTGGTCATTCTATCAGCACATAAAATGCTCGCTCTTCGTCTCTTCCTTCAGTATTCCACTAAACTGCTATATCAACATGGTCTCACGATTGCAGATTTGTGTGAATTCACACAAGCCAACTAATACAAAAGCTTACAAGCTGTTTAGGTCTGGGTGGTTTTTGCAGTCATATCTTTTTTACGACTTCAGTCATATGAAACCCAACAAAATCACTCTGACTCATACTACTTTCTATGAATTCTTCTGGAGATCAGGTTGACTATATAACTTGCTGTCGGTTTCAATCAGCAAAACATGTAATTTGACGTAATATAATTTGTTTAAACTTTGGTGTATGACAGAATGCTTAAAAGGTTATTTGCCTGGTTGAATTGTTCTTCTCTTTGAAGGAGAACCTCTAGTATATGGTTCTTTAAAGAACCAAATTCCTCTATATAGCACCAAAATGAGACTACTTTAGAGAATTAAAAAACAATTTGTTGTGGGCTGAAGAGTGGCGAGTCATCAGGAGACCGTTTTATCTCTCGAGGAGATCAGCTTCATCCCTGGTGATGCTACAGCCATCTGTGGCCGAGAGTCCAAAAGAGGACATTTGGCCTCCCTCTCCCTTGATGGGTAGGATGGCCCTCATATCTACACCTGTAGCATATCTACAGTATCTTACACTCTTATAGGCTTCTATATAGTACTAATAATTTAGGATGTTAGCGATGGGTGGAGAGAGAGGGCCATCCTCCCTCCACCTATTGCTAAGTGCGATGCTAGCCAGCACAGGTGTCTGTTAGCTGACATAACAGAACTGGCAGTTAGTGTTCTCCTTCAAGCATGTTTAGCTGTCCAATGTACATTAGTGGCAGTGTGTTTGTCTTCGCCCTCCTATCATTGGTGGTATGGTGTGATTGGGGGAATCCTAGCTAGTGGTTGGTCTGAGATACAAATAAATTGGGGAGAAATTGGTAAAAAAAAACAAAAAAAACGTTATTAGTATTATATAGAACCCTTTTTGCTAAGAGTGTAAGATACTGTAGATATGACACATTTAAAGAGCAGTGGTTAGTAATGTTTGTTTGAGCTCGAGTTGTGTCTCTTGTCAGTTAGGTGCTTCTAAATATCGACAGCTAGGAAGCAACATAGCTAATCAGGCAGTTTGGCCACTTTAGGTCTGCATTTTAATACTAATATATAATGCACAATTAAAGAAATTACATTATTATCTGCAATTAATGGTCAGCCAAAATTTCAAGACCGTGACAGGCCTAGGTTCCATAACACATACCGCAAGGTTCCAGAACTGCACATTCAAGCTGAGAACCATTTAAGAACTTTTTTAAGAGTGTAACTCCATTTCTTCAACAATCGGTTGTGATATTTGAAGCCGGAATAAAGCTATAGTGCATAGAAACAATGTATACAGCTTTTCCCTCAAGTAACATAACTAATTTAACTCGTCAGTTTCCAAACTCCTCATGTGCTGAATGCTTACTATAACTTTACATGTGCAATATTCCAAACCTGCATGTGAAAGTTTTTCCTGCGTGTTTCAATTAAGGATTTTTAGAACTCCATTCATTTGCACTGTGTGCAGTATATCAGATAATGCTCCTCTTGCATGTGTCTGGGAATGGATATTCATGGCCAATGGAGCGAAGGCAACTATTTTGCTGACACTAATGTAACTCCAGTCCACATGTGTGGCAAGAAATGTCAACAGCCTCATTCAGGAGTGCAGAGTGAGTTAACAGGCAATTAATCAAGCAATTTATTGTAACCAGCAGGAGCCACAGAGCTCGCCTGAGGAAAAGTATGCAGGAACTCCTTCCTGCGGGTCGCCATTCATCAAGCTGTGATGGCAGGCAACAAAGGCTGGGTTAGAACGGATCGCTTAGCCTGGGCAAGATATGGTTTTGATTAGAGGCTTCCAAGGAGATGTCCCAAACAAACGTTGCCATGAACTGGTGTGTTTGGTTACAAACACAGAAAGGCAGGCGAGAAGTGCCGGAGCCAGGTGCCGCGCTGTTATTTTGTGTACGCTCCTGCTGCCATGGCAACAGAGGGACCCGCATCGGCATCCTGTTCCTCTCAGTGAGGGAACAGGGGCAGAAGCAGACACACACAGCACTCTGTCCAGTATAAAGACAGACTGGACAGGGATTAGACAGAGATGAGGTAGAGCAGTAAGAGGGCTGGACCTAAAAGTTAAGGACAATTTTACTGGCTCTTTTTCATACTTAGGATTAACATGTAATTGATGACATAAGAAAACCTTGTGATTTACATTTTTTAATGTTATGCTTTTAATTTGCACCTCTTGGAAACACTGTCTGAACATTTTGGACCTCTGGACCTTCTGAAAAGAAAAGCTTGCAATGTTTTTGTTTTTTCATAGATGTTAAGAACCTATTCACCATTTCAGAGTATATTGTTTTTCCCAAAAGAGATTAGTTCCAAATGGCAGGGGCAGACATGCACTGCACAATTAGCCATTATGCCAAGGAAATGTATTTATATATATGCATCTTTTCCAAAAATATGTAAATTTTGAAATATATATTAACATATATATTTGACATCTATAATTTATTGAAATGAAATGATTACACATACTTATCTGTATTAGTATGTACTTGTTTTTCACCATAGTGACATATAAATATATATGAATATACAGACATATTCAAATAAAAAGTTCAATTCAAACATATTTGTGCATATTATTGTGGTATGAGCAAATTTACAGGACTGTGCAAATGTTTTAGACATCTAGAAAATCAATTTAAGCTATCTGTCTGATTTTTTTTCTAACTTCTTTTTTAAAAACAAGAAAGTCTTGTATTTTTTGTAATGTTATGTTGTGTGTTACTGGTAAAAACACATTTATTGCCCAGATTTATTGCCAAAATGGTTAATTTTTTGCAAAATACTGTATGTTTTTAATATATGGATCTGACATACATATTTTAAAAAATATGTCATTATATGTATATGTAAATATTACTTATACATATATTTAATCTACACATTTGGTTATATTTCAACATATATAGCTATATTGACACAAATAAAAAAGAAATTACATTTACCTACATGTAGAATAAATGTATTTCATCAAGCTCAAATTGTGCACTTAAATTAGACAGATGCCACATTTCTTCTTATTTTCACCTAGGAAAATTAGCACAACATGTAATCTGACCTGGGGTGTTGTAATTGTTCTGTATGACTGTATGAGTGATATATATATATATATATTCTTCCTCTTAGTTGCCAAAAGTGAAGTTATATAGTCTGTTAAATGCCAAGAATAAAATGTGTATATAAAAAATATTATCTATAATAGGGGGATTACAATTGCACCCCATGTTTAGTATTGCTAAATAAATGATGTAATTTGTTATTAACCTCTTAAATGGCTAGTTGTATTATTACATACTTCTGTGACCTAAGAATAGTTCTGCCAGTTTACATTGAAGTCCCTTTAGTTTGTATGTAATAAGCCTCGGATTTTAAGGGGTTAAATATAAATATAAAATGCAATAAATCGCAAGCCGCATTCTTGAAGAGGGAGAGAAGCTATGGAAAATGATCATCACATTAATGTAAATATCATAATAGCACAAAACAGTACAAAACGTAACACACATGACATTTTAGTAACTTTATACAACTTCATGTACTGTAAATGCACTCATCTTCCAGTTTGGGATTCAACAGATGACATTACACAGAAGAAAAAGGGAGAGAAACGTAAAACCATGCACACTATGTAATACAAAGATGGTACTTCTGATTAATCAATACATAAAAAAGGGGGTAGTAAAAGTATTGTGATTATGAGATGCATATTCTGCCAGTAGAGAAAGAGCTGTTCTTATTCTCAGTTCTGTCAATATATACAGTACATTTAATGTTTAGATGCGCTTATTGGAGCGCAGCCTAAACAAGGCAACTAAATGCCAGTGTTTTTGCACTTTGTACAAAACATGGGGACCAAGTATGACCACTATATGGTCAATGGTTCCACTGGTAGATGTTTCTTTAATGCACACTTGCTTTGTTCTCATCTGTAAACACAAGGTGGTTAGACTTTTGGCTGATATCTGTGTAAATGTACATCATTCTCACTGGTGCTTTTTGTTTGTTTTTTCTTTTTAATCAAAAAGCAGACGTCTTGCCAAAATGCCCTAGTAATACAGCTACTCCCAGACAATTTGGCACTTTTCTATAAACAAAGACCCTGTGGTCAAATGCAACAGTCCACACAGAGTCCTGTTTTAGCAGGACATGCAAATCCAATGACCAAATGAATAATGGTTTACATTTTTCTTTAGGCTATACTTAGTGTTCTTATTAATATCAGCGTTGTCAAAGCGAAGCCTCATAGCTCCAAAAGGGTAACTTTATAGGAAAGAAAGAAGTGTTCCAAATCAGATTTGATTGTATTTGAGTTTTTGTAATTTCCAATAAAAGGTTTTTAAATAACAGCAATGATACGATTCACCTATTTCCTTCACTGCATCTATGCAGAAGACTACACTAAAGCAGTTTGTTTGATTTGTTACTGTGACCTACCTCTATTGACCATATAAGGCTGCTAAAGAATGAACAAATGCTGATGAACTCATGAGCTAGTCTAGGCCACTGCATTTAAAAGCCAGTTCTGGCAGCATGAACAATGTTATAATTAGTGCATGACCAATTTAGCAGACAGAGCTCTGTGTTCTGCCCACTTTGCTGACATCAACATAATGGAAAGTGTGTGGTATGTAGGAAACACTGACTTAAATATGAACTGAAATGAATTTTATATGGCTACAACACCAGATGGTTTAACCTTTGATTGACTTAATCTGCAGAAACATCTAAAAAAAAAAAACCCTTGAGCATCAATGCATCTATTCGACTGCATCCTGTGTCCTCAGAGACAACTCTTTACATAATTTCCTGTCATTCACAGGCTTCAGGAGACAGAGTTCGTGTTGGGCTTTGGTCCAGGTCTAAGTGCTGATGGGAACGGAGCTCTGCATTCCTCTCATGCTCCACTGGCCACTTTACTTGGCCTTGGTCTTCTCATCGTAAGTCCCTGCGTTCTTGTAGGCTGCTACATAGCCCGTGTTCTCCACTATCTCCTCTCGTCCGCTCTTTCCTTTGCCTTTCCCGCTCTCATCGAAGCGCTCCTTGTGGGAGCCCGTGTACTTGGAAGTGTCTGTTAGCCTGTCCACTGCTCCGGTCTTCGCCACTTTCTAGAAAGGAATCAAAACACAGAACAGTTTTTCAACTTACAATTTAGGAGAAAAATTAAATATGCACAATTTAGCCCTTAGACCTCAAATGCAGTCATCCAGTCGAGACATGTTTAGTGTCTGAAGGTCTTTTTCTGTTTTGCACCAGAGGCTAATGTAGCTAACAAGCCCATACAGAGATCTGATATATGGCAATACATGCACATATATCAATGCAGATCAGGCATATATTTTTAAATTTCTGTACATTTATGTTGTGTACATATATGTAAGTGTCAAACATCGGACATATATGATTATGGATTGCACAGCTTACAATGTGCATATCACTGCTGTTGGAACAAAACCTTATATCTCCATTTTTTTTTACTTTTTTGACATAATTTGAAAATTCCTGTTGGACAGAAAGAAACGGCCCAAAATGACTCGGAAAAAAACATTACATTAAGAGTAAAGTATGTTTTTTCCATCTCCTGTAAAGTTACCATTTTGAAGATAAAAGGTTTTGTTCTGACCACAGTGATATATTAAAGGGTGATTATGTAACTATTATAATTACTTCATTAGGAAGTATGTGGAAGAAACAAAGAAGACACATAAAAACCTTATTTAACATGAAGCTACCAAATATGAGTAATATATGGCATTCATATATGAATGTTTTCCATCATATATTGTTAAATATATGTCTTACACACATAGCTTTATATGTTGATATATGGCAAAAACATTTACTATATTTCAAAAAAGGCAATTTCATATAAATTGAGACCGTGTCAAGTTGTTAAGCAATATCAAACAGGCTTGCTTATGTGTTTTCTGGCACTGTATGCCGCACTGTTATCTACAGAAACAAACAAAGCTAAAACAGTGGCAGCAGCTATCTGCAAGCCTGCATTTTCCCATATCTTTGTTAGCACAATGCTAATTGGTGATTAGAAGCTTGCATTATTTACATTAGCCTATTAGTTCCAGCTCAAAGCCAAGAAAGCAAAATTCAGGCACCAAACATTTGCAGCATTATCAGCTATAATTTGGCTAAGGGGATAATTATGTACCCTTGATTTTTGGCTGAACTATCATTTAATGACAAAGCCAAGTATAACATACTCAAAGATTGGCAAGCACTATAGATAGTGAAAAAAAAAAAAACCTAAACAGACTTAGGACTACATTTGTTAAGTGGCATTCTTTTACCGGCCTGTGTGAAATCAATCTTGGCCAGCAGCGCATGTTTTACTATGTGGCCTGCCCAAGCAAGTCCAGGTGCTTAGAGTAAATGCCAAATGTGGGCTAAGAGGACACCATGCTGAAAAGAACTCCTCTTGAACTCTTGCTGTTTAAGCTACATGACAGTACAGGTGACACAGGCCACTCACTCATCACTTTGCACACACAGTTGTACAAATTACGTCATCTGACTCTCTACTGCCCTCCGGTGTCGAACAATATTATTGAAGTTGTAAGAATGTGAAGATAACACAGTTTTCTGTATATTAGAATGTGTATATTTTGCACCAGTCATCATTAAATACTGCAAAATATACACATTTTAATTATTTTGGTTGATTCTAATTCAGTTCACTGAGTTTTCCTTTTGTGACCACTTGTGTATAGTATTACTGCATTTTGGCTGACTTGGAGCAGTTCTAGGGTCAGATTTCTGTAACAACAATAGTTTGCCAGAGGTCAAGGTACAGCTGTGATAATATGGATGATGTCATATAAGGTTCCTGTGGCTTGAGTGGTAGCTGTTGTGAATGAGGGAGCAGAGGAGAGTACAATAACCCCTCTGATCCTTTGTCGAGGTTTGGCCTCAGTTCCTTCTCTTCAGCATTTTTCCTTAGACTTGTTTATACCACACCATCTTTTACATGGTTTCTGCTTATGGTTTATGCAGTTTATCTTCAGATTGTTCTAAATCCGTGCCTAGAAATGTGTACTGCAAATCTTAGGCCTACACAGTAAGCTACTGCAGAGCTACAAATACAATAACAGTGCAAGAAGTAATGTCACAGAAGAATCACTTGAATGTGAATTTGAATGTGAAGGTGTTAGAACATCTTTCATTACACAGAAACCTATGTAGAGGTTTCGACTTTAGCACAATGCTGCACACTCAGACATCTGAAAGGTTCTTTTGGCATCCAGAAGTGGTTCTTCTATGGCATCACTACAAAGAACCTGTTTGGCACCTTTATTTTTAACCGTGTACGTTCTTGTGCTCAAAGGAAAGTTTGATTCTCACCGTTACACCAACGTTGGTGGGCTCTTTGCCCTCAATCAGCTTATAGATAGACTGCAGTGCTTCTTCCTTGCTTTGACCTTTGAACCTCTTTGGGGCCAATTCTTCCAGAGCCTTCTGGAACTCCTCATAGGTGATGACCCGAGACGACTTTGCTCTAAAATCCAACATGTAATAGATCATTTATAAATCTTCTCTCATTTTAACTCAAATGTTTGCAGTGCTATCATAAAATAAGAGCATTACAAAATATGATTGTGAATTTAATGTTTATAGTGTCCATAAAATTTGAAGCCCAAAATAAGAATAAACCACAGAACACTGTGTCTGTGTATTCTTTGTTCTATTCCTTAATCAACAAACAAAAAACTTGAAAAATTCTTTTTCTTTTTTTTAACTTCTTGTATGGATATATCAGGAAAAAAGACTAACTTTGAGAAGTCCACCCTTAGTCTCTTTATGTTTCTGATCAATTTGGCTGAAAAACACTGACAGCTTAATGTGTTGCATCAGTGATTGCATTAGTGGTGTTACTCATCAAACATTACTTCAATCCAAAATTGCAATATGAATTCAACACTTTGTAATTTTCCACATACAGTGTGACTTTGAGACTAAGGTGGCAGTGGACTATATTTTAGAAAAGCGTAGATTTCCATCAATTATGTCAGTGGTGTTACGGTCACTGGTGTTACGACTTTACTAATGTTGTTCAGTATAACAGACTACGTCAACTCACTTGACTTTAGTGAAGACAATATCCACATCGGTGCTTATGATGTTTTTGCCATCAACGACTTTGCAGTCTTTGCAGAGCTTGGCCCAGTTTTTACCATTCATCTCTTTCCCTGAGGCTTTGGTGTCACCATGGACAGCAAACCTCTTAAAGGCATTCAGCAGCTCATCCAAGTCAGTGCTCTCTGCCATCTTTGCTATGCTGCAAAGAAAAAAAGAGAGGAAAATGCAAATTATTATGTAATGTATGAAATTTAAATATGGTTTATATTCATAATGACACTAATAATCACACACTTCTGCACATTTTAATGCACAGTTGCTGTTTATTTGCTGAGTTTAACATGTTGGAAAATCCAATATGTTAAACTCAGCAAATAAATTGGAATTTTGGACTAACATTTTCAGAAAAATGCCATATTTAAATTAGTTTCCTGTGGAGTTAACTTATTTTCACTTAGAAAATCTATATAACATGTAATTTGACCGAAGGTTTTCAAACTTTTGCTGTGCTACAACTGTACTATGAATTATTTAGTAACTACTATGAGTCTAATATATAGTCTATGAGACTAATATACTTCTCTGCTTATAAAAAAGGGAGGAATTTAATGGGGAATTACATTTCTGCATTGTAATGTAGTCAGTCAATGGGCACAAGTCAGTGGGCCTCATTCACCAACCGTTTTTAAGAAAAAACTTCTTAAAACCCTCTTACATATTTTTCACGAAGACTTTGACACTCACCATGGTTTTCTTGTTTGGCATTTGTTCTTAGGTAAGAACAGAATCTACACGCTCTCAAGAACACAAAGTTGTGAACGGATCTGTGGTTTAAGAACATGTTATGAATCTGACGTAGACTTTTTCTTAGGACCTTTCTCAAAAACATATTTAAGAAAAAAGGAAGATATAAGGAAGATATTACAGAATGAGGCCCAATAAGATTTCAACAAAATCATTCAGTGTTGTAGAGAAGCTCACTGAGCAAGAATGGTTTACAATCAGATTTACCACCATTTTACCATCACAGACATCATGGCCCCTGGTTTCTGTCTGTAAGTTTCTCTACATTACACCATTTCACATCAACCCAATCAGCATGACTTTGTTTACATCTCAACAACTAAATCATGCACACATTTTGAATAATCAGCGGAGTTCCCCTTCAGGGGGGTTAAGTAGAGACTTTTTGCACTCTAGGCCTGAGTAAGGTTTTGAGAAGGCCAGCTGAAATCTTTCACAACCCAGCAGTTGTTCACTGTAGCAACACATCGCTGGACTTTTAGCCTTTACACAAAAATGCTGTGTGCTTCCAAAATTTCACACTGTCAGTGTGAAAAAAAAAAAAACACTGAAAACATGAGCCAAAAGTAGCACATTAGGGGGAGTGGAAGAGCCGAAGAGCCGACATAGAGATTAAGAAGCAGTTCTGTTTATACACTGCTGACAGGAGAGGCCTTTTAATGAAAGAGTTCATCAGATAAAATGAGTCAGAGTGTCTTAGATTCTCTCTCTCTTTCTTACTCACCTTCTTGTGTATGCGTTTCCTCTCTGTAAATGTTTCACACTCTTTCACTCTCTCTCTCTCTCTCTCTCACTCTCTCTCTCTCTGAGTTGAGGGGCGTGAGCTCACCCTGCCTGGTGCCTCACACACACTCCAGCTCACTGAAAAGCAGTACTTTAGCCCTGTTGAGTTAAATGACATTGAGCTTTGCAAAGTGCTACATAAATGTGCTCTTATTCTTAATATTCTTTTACTTATTATTAATGCCACAGGGTTACTTGGACAAAAGGTTAGAGCCACCTTCAAATCATCAGCGACCACCTGTGTGTGATTATTAGTTTTGTTTGTCTGTGTATTTGTACCCCTGTGTCTGTGTTTTTTGGAAGCCCATTCCTGGTAGGTAGAGGAGAAAAAAATTGCCCTTTTTTTCGTGCTTCTTCTTGTCTGACTCAGTATTTCAAAATACTGACTTATTATCTTGTGATAATGACTTGATTCTCAAAATAATTACTTATTTTCTTGAAATACTGATTTAATGTCTCAAAATATTGATTTTAGATCTCAAAATAATAACTCATTTTCTCAACATATTGACTTTATATCTCAAAATAATAACTTCTCAAAATATTGACTTTATATCTCAAATATGACTATTTTCTCAAAATATAGACTTTATATTTCAAAATAATAACTAATTTTCTCAAAATATTGACCTTACATCTCAAATATGACTGTTTTCTCAAAATATTGACTTTATATTTTGAAATTATAATTCATTTTCTCAAAATACTGACTTTATATTTCAAAATAACTTCTCAAAACTTTATATCTCAAATATGACCATTTTCTCAAAATATTGACTTTATTTCTCTTGTCAAGACTTTGAGATACTGTTTGTTGAAAATGTTGAAATAAGGAGTTAAAGAAAATAAGTAATAAGTAATTATTTCGACAAGTAATTAAGTCAACATTAGAACAACAACAACAAGAACATAAGGCATTATTTTGACATTGGAAGTCAATATTTAAAAAAAAAACAACAAGTCATTAAGTCACAATGATGATGTACTACTATCAGAATCAGACAGAGAAATAAACGTATAGGGGATTTTTTTTTCTCCTCTGCCTGGCAGGAATGGGCTTCTATGGTGTTTAGTCTTTGCAAAGTCTTGATGTAGTTTCATGTGCCTTTCTGAGCCAGTTTTAATCCTAGTCTTCCTGTTCTTAGTACTTAGTCCTGTTTCATAACACTTCCTAGCTGTCTGCCTTGTTTTTGTCTTGTTTTCTGTGGTCTCTGTTATTAGACTGATCTCCTGGTTTTGACTCTGCGCCTGTTCCTGATGTGGTATTCTGATCTTGGGTTACTCTGCCAAGAAGAGCCCTTTCAGCAAAGCATGTATCGTGCCACACCAACATTACAATGCACTTTAAAATGACTCAAGAGCTTAATATGAATATAATATTTATGTAAAATTCCAGAACGTGAGTGATGTGAGAAGTGGAAAAAGCTAGGATTGTAGAAAGAGGGGAGGTGTGAGGAGGTGTGTGGATGGTGTGAAGGGGCTGAAGGCGTGTGTTATTGTGGAATCTTTCAGAAGGATGTCAGAGGTTTGGCAGGGAGAGCTCTACACAGAGCTGATGAGCAGACAATGACAGTGGGTGGGCTTGGCCTGAATTCAACTTGCAGCCTTCAAAACCATCTGTAGTTTGTTTTTAGCACTAGAACACAAACACACACATGCAGACACTCACACACTCAAACTAACACGTGCAGATCCACACACTCTAACACACATGCACATACACAGACAGCCACATACAGATGGAATGATGAGGCTAATCATCATGTGATGTGCGAGGGGTCTGGGGAACTGCTGGGATCTATTCAATGCTGACATGCAACATGTTTGCATTGTATAGATTATGATCTACTGAATTGATGATCTGACTGATATTAAATGATGAGCTGAATTACAGGGTAAAGCCTGTACAGTAATGTGCAAAAAGACCCCCATTTATTTATTTGATTTCCAGTCAAAACAGCCAAAAAGTACAAGTAAAAAACATATTTAATGGAAAATTACACAGACTCCTCAACAACTAAACATAATGTCAAATGCACCTCCAAAGTTTGATCTTAGAAGTTGGTTGCATTTTCTTTCTTATTCTTTCAGACTCATAGTTTTGTCTTCTCACAGTGGAAGGATGGACAGAAACACCTGTGGATGTTTTCAGATCTGAAGCAAGAGTTGAGCTTGATTTTCTCTGCTCTCTCCAAGATGAAAGCTTTAAGTACTGTTTATCTGACAGTGACAGATTTGGTGGTCTTCCGGGTCTTGCATGGATGTAATTTTTCAAAATTCTTCTGTTTTTGTTTTTTTTTCCACTTATTTTCTTTTCACTTCCCAGCTTAGTTGTGAAATTGGATTATTGTATATCTAATCTCCTCAGAAATATCACCTGAAAAAGGAATATCATGTACTTAACAGCCAGAAAATTAAATAAACATAGGGTGGTCTCTGCCTTTTGCATAGTACTGTAACTGACCACTACCCTGAGTGTGTGTGTGTGTGTGTGTGTTTAAGGAGCAGTTGCTTCTTAAACACCGCCAGGCAATGGAATAAGGACATCATTGTGTGTGAACCTCACCCCGAACACACACACACACACACACACACACACACCACACATACACACACTTACACATGCACACTGTCCACTTCCTAAGAGATTCTGTCACTCTGACTCTACTGCTTGTCCAGCCTCAGGAAGTATCCATGGAAACCATTACATAAACCTGGGAAACACCTATCTACACACACGCACACCCTACATAAGCATAGCATTACACACTAAAACGGCACTATATGATATCATAAGTGTAAGAAAAAATGCTTTCTCCTGCATTTCTTTGATTTGTTGCAGTAGTTGCAGTTTTACACCCATTTTATGAGAATCTTCAGTTATTTTACAGTCATTTCTTGATTACTACTTGTCCACTTTTCCTGCAGCTTGGTGACCTTCTGAGACTTTATTTGACTGATCTAAATCTCTCTGATAAACACTCCCTATCATTTAACTGCATGAGCTCACTGAGCTAGGCAATTGTGGTCTGAACTGAATGAGCTGGCACTGCGCCAGTCTATTGCGGAGGTATAATTGCACTTAATTACGACCCGATCCACTTCAGTGCTCCACGTTTATCATTACCCACTACAGTCATGACATCATTTTTGGCATTTGATGGCTCTTAGGAAATATCAGCTGTCCTTTTGATGTATTTATTAGACAGGCCTAGTTTGACTGACACTGTTTTGCTATGATAGTATTGTATTACTTTGCCAAACAAAGATGCCTCTGCACTGTCAGAAAAAAAGGGCAGAGTTTTGTCCCCCAAGGTACAAACAGTGTAAATGTACCATGAAAGGTGCAGAAATGGTCCAAATAGTGTGCCATAAATGCAGTTGCACTACTTTCACTTTCCGAATAACTTAAGGTACTGAAGACCCCAACGTTTGTACCCTGAAATGAACAGGGTACTACTTTTTTTCTGAAAGTGTACTGACAGCTGTTTAAATGCATTCTAGTGCAGCACAATACAAGCTTTAGAGTAAACATGGTCTTTCTGGCTTGTAATATATGGTCTTATAAAATGATCCCCTATTCAGGATTCTTGGTTGCAAACCTGTCTGCATAAAATGCAGAACATGCATCTGTTCAATAAGGTGTATTACAATGTAATAACAATCTCCATGATGTTTAGATGTGATTCCTATACATGAATTTGCAATTAAAGTTAAATTAGAAAAAGCAAAGATTTAAAACTACAGGCCAAAAGTATGAAGCAAGTGATTTTTTAAAAAAACTTTTTACATATTTAACATAAGTCAATTTGCCAATAACCAACACAATGGGACAATTTCTCAAACATGGATTAAGCCCAGTCTTGAGTAAACTGCAGTACCAATTTACCATTGGAAATTCTTCTTCGCCTAAGCTTAGGCTTAATCTGGGTCTGGGAAACTAGCTGAGCATGTTTATTGATGTCTGGTTTAACCAAAGGTTTCTGCAAAAATTCCGGTGTATAGGAAATACATTGGCCTGCAATATACATGCACAAATCTCTCATCTTTCTCATAACCTCTGCATCATAGAATGCAATAGAAAGAGTTTAGTAGGAAAGTGTTAGTAATAATATTAGTAATAAAGAAATGATAATGAAAGCTTTATGTACTTACAACGCAGGCAAAACGCAGGATGTGTGAGGGACATGCAAGAATACAGCAAGCTGTTGACCTGCAAGCAGAGTGTGTGAAGCTATGCTGCAGCGCTGTGTGCAGGTGCGTGTGTGTACTGGAATAATAACGGTTACTGAGCTCTTACCTGTGCCACCCTGCTCCTTCCTGCACGGCTACTCCGCACACATATACACACACATGCACTCACACACACGGCCAGAAAAGCGTTCTATATACAGTGCTTTGGTCTTCTGCACCACCTGCTCTCTTTCTCTTTCTCTCTCTCACTCTCTCTCTCTGTCCTGTTACTCTCTTCTCATTTGAGCTTTAAAGGGCTGAGGGCTTGTTATCATCTGTTTACGCCTGTATCCATAGAGACATCCTGTTTAACATCAAGGGAGGGCAATAAAAAGTGAGAGAGAGAGAGAGAGAGAGAGAGACTGAGAGAGAGACTCCTTGAGCCGTAGTGACCAGGGTCATTTATCAGTTGGGTTGAAACAGAGTCTTGAGCATGACTAAAAAGGATGGCTACAGTAAGTAGTTTAGACACTACAAGAGTGTGTGTGTGTGTGAATGCTCTCATAGTCATGTTTGAAAGGTGCAGACAGAGATTACATGGTGTATAAGCATGAAAGTGTGTTTGAGGTGGGGCGTGGAAACGTTTTATTATGTATGTATGTGTGTGTATATATGTACACCTCAAACACATTTGATCTCACATTAAATGCAAACTAGTTCAGCATTGTTTTTCAGCTGGCTGAAGCCATCAGTGCTAAGTGGAAAAATATTTACACAATATATACAACCTTAAGTCCAAAAAAGTCAGGATGCTGTGTAAAATGTAAATAAATATAAATAAAAACAGAATGCAATGATTTGCAAATCTCACAGACCCATATTTTATTCACCATAGAACATAGAACACATATCAGATGTTGAAAATGAGACATTTTACCATTTCATGAAAAACATTAACTCATGTAGAACTTGATGGCAGCAACGCATGTGAAAAAAGTTGGGACAGGAGCAACAAAAGGCTGGAAAAGTAAGTGGTACTAATAAAAAAACAGCTGGAGGAGCAATTTGCAACTAACTCCCATGACTGGGTATAAAAAGAGCATTTTAGAGAGGCAGAGTCATTCAGTAGCACCAGGTTCACCAATCTGCGAAAAAAGTATTTCTCATCCCAATATCTACAGTACATTATATCATCAACAGATTCAGAGGATCTGGAAAAATCCCTGTATGCAAAGCACAAAGCCGACAATCATGGATGATCGTGTTCTTCAGGTCCTCAGGCAGCACTGCATTAAAAACAGGCATGATTCTGTACTGGAAATCACTGCATGGACTCAGGAACACTTCCAGAAATTGCTGTCTGTGAACACAGTTTGCCGTGTAATCCACAAATGCAAGTTAAAGATGCATCATGCAAAGAAGGAGCCATTTGTCAACATGCTCCAGAAACACTGCCATTTTCTCTGGGCCAAAGCTCATATGGAATGGACTGAGGCAAAATGGAAAACTGTTCTGTGGTCAGATGAATCAAAATTTGAAATTCTTTTTGGGAACCACAGACACTGTGTCCTGCAGACTCAAAAAGAGAGGGACCATCCAGCTTGTTATCAGTGCGCAGTTTTAAAAGCCTGCATCGCTGATGGTATGGGGTTGCATTAGTGCCTATGACATGGGCAGGTAGACATGGTAGGTAGATGATTTGTAGAGGATGTGTTAACTTATTTTCACTTAGAAAATCAACAAAACATTCATTTGACTGGGAGTAGTCAAAATTTTGTATATAGCTGTACATATCTGCAGGTACAAGGTGCCACCAACTGAGCTGCTGAACTAGTCATTTAGCCACCCGCGCTCAGCTGAATGATACAATTACTGTGAACAACTCTGCTGTTATCAGAAATAAAATCCTACTGTCTATTTATGTTGTTCTTGCTTTGTTGACCAGAGAAGGATAGATTTCCCTTCCTCTTGCTCTTAGGGAGTTTTTCTTGCCATTGTCACCCTTGTACTCCTCAGAGGAGCTTGGACTCTCTGGATTTTCTGTAAAGCTGCTTTGTGAAAACATATACAACATGGGTAGAACACTGCTCATCCAATCAGACTGTGTAGTTGGAAATAACTGTTGTATAAAATTCAGTAACCACATGGACTACAGTGAGAACTGCCTGTTATTCTTAAGATGCAGAACCTTTAACAGATTTGTTACCAGTTAAAGGACTTTTTTTGAGAACCAAAGATTTAGGAACATGTATTTTTAGGAATGTTTTTACCCCCAGTTCTTCACGTTTCTGCATGTATGCATTGTAGTTTTTTAATTTGGTGGACAGATTAGTGTAATTATTTGATGAGTTAGAGTCACTATATTTGAAACCAAGCACATAGATTGGCCTAGATACTCAACAAGAAAGCAAACAAATCAGTTAACATTATAACAATTAACGTCACAACATTTTGTTTTACGTCTTTTCTATTGTGTCAGTCCTCAGTGAAGAAGTGAGCAGACTGAACAGTTCTGACCACACTGAATCGCTGGCCTCTCTCTCTGGCCACTGTCTGCAGCAATGGCATTACATTTTCCAGAGTAGCCCCCCTCCCCACCCCACCCCACCCCACCACCCAACCCCATCCATTTTGTCTGTACAGGATGAATAAACAGAGGAGTCACGAGACTTTGGACCAGCTCAGGGCCAAATATGATCTAGCGCTGCCTGATGTCATTGAGAAATATATTTTTAATTATCTCTGCTTCAAATTAAGGAGGCGAAGGGAGCCTGTGCTGGAGCCGTTCCCACCAGTTAATGGCCTGCAATGCTTTGAACAAATCCTGGATTTCACGCAGTTTCACTGATTTCCTCTCCTCCCACCTCTCCCACCCAGTGTCCTTCGCCTTCTCCTCCTTTCATAATGTTTCTCTTTCTCCTCCTCCCTTAATCCTTCTTATTGCTCCTTACTGTCTTTCTTCTTCCAGCTCTGTTATGAAAGCACAAAGCTATCTTGGAGCAGAAAGCAAGTGTTAGTAGCAAAGTCTTATTTTTCTGACATAATGCTAGGCAGTATTCACATTCAACATCACAATATTTCCAAAACATATCACTGTATGAGAGTATCAGATGATATTTATGTTTGCATTAAAATGTTGATGAAGCTATGCTTCCTGAAAACTGCTACACTAAGCAAAAAGGCTGTCTTACAAGCATAGTTAGAGTATGTAAACACTATTATAGTTTCAAAATGTACCATTCATTCTGCTGCCTATACAGTCCATACAGCTGCAAGAATTTAATGAATTGTTTTTGTGATTATGTCAGCAAATTCCAGACTTTATTCAAATGCATATTTGAAAATTCAAATCCTTGGCCTGGTTAGTGAGTGTTAAAATGTCACTAGCAGTGGTTGCTACTGCTAGCTCTGTATTGTATTAAACAAGTATCTAGCTCTGCACTGCCAAAGTTCAGACTCGTCACTTCACCTTAAAACACTTAAAAGTCCCACCCGACATCCTGACCACAGTTTGCAACTGCATTTTCAAACAGGATTGCAACTACTATTCAGCCTACAGCTGTTTAGCTCAACAATTCACATTATAAGTGGCATTTCAGATCGGATGGCTTTTTGAATTAGGCAGTCAATCAGAACATATGTAATAATTTATGTCACTTTTAAAGGCACAAAAACAGCCTGTTTAATTCTGAGAAACAAAAAAAAGTTAGAAAATAGTCATGTAAAAATGAATTCTGGCTGTTTTTGGTATATAATTCCCCAAACATAATACGTGAACTCCATGGAAAGCTAATAAGATGCTAAGACTATAAGACAATGAAGTATGTGGGCTCTTTATGTAATTCAGTTTTTGTGTATTTTGAACTGTAATGACAAAACATTAAGAAAATGAATGATTAACTGATGCATGGACTAGCAAGCCACATGCTCAAATCAGATATGAGAAGGCACTAAGAGAAAATAATAGTTAACTTGTGAGAAATGACAGCCCCACCATTTAGCAGAGCTGTCCCCAACTAAAGATTTACTAAGTTGGCCAAAAGGTCTGAATTTTGACTAAAAAGCAACAAATAAAAGTCTAATGAAAAGAACTTTTTTCTTTTTGTAGATCTATCAACATCTTTAAAACTAAGAATCAGTATTGTTCTCATGCTACAATGTACTGGCATGGATGCTATACTGCCCAGCACTATTCTATTGGTAGTAACGACAGGCCAATTGACATAGACTGTTTAATGAAAATGTCTTCTTTACCTGCATCAAGTGAACAAAGAGAGCTTTTGTTCATTCACAGAATCATATTACTAAAGGCTTTGGTGTATCTATGACAAGCCCACAGGACACACACGAATACAAACCTCTTTGTCTAAGAATGCACTGCTCATCAAACGCTTTGGCACACCTGGCTTTTACAAAGTTTAATAAACCAGTCTGTTTCTGACAGTTTGTGTTAATGTAACATATTAAGTAGAGACTTTTTTAGATCTTGCTGTTTTGTTTGTAACAACTGTAAAACTGAAGGAACAACAGACAAATGTTGTACTTTGGGAATAAAGGTCACACATTTTATTCCCTTGTTGGGATGACAGCGCACATCAGCACTCAAACTTTCCAACTGTTTAAACCACATTGGGACAAAAGATGTTCAATAAACAGTCATTTGCACTGTCAGTTTTTTTGGCAAAACCTGCTCTTCATACCAAGGATAACACTTAGTCGACCATGAAGCGGAATGTTGAAAATATACCCGTGCTTGATGCAAAGAGAACTTCAGTTTTTCTTAAGTAACTGAAAAGCAGCTGTAAAAATCAAACATTACTCAGAAATTTTCAAAAGAATGGACAGTATGTCTGCAGAACTCACATGGAAAGAAACATTTTCCAAATGTATTTATAAAATAAATTATACAATGTATATAAATGGCCAAAAAACATATATGTTAAAAATATATTTTTAAAATGCATTTATTTGTATTTGTCATTATATTATATAATTGTTTGTAGTGTTAACAAAGGTTTCAAATATAACTAAATATACATGAGCTGTATATGTTTTGCACTGCACTTTTCAATAACCGCTGTATGTGGTGAGACAGCACTCAAAATGTATTTCGAATAAACAAGATATTAAATCATTTTCACAGTGTATCAATACCTACAACACTTGCTTTTGCCTTGTTCATTTCAAGGTTTATTTGTTAATAGTTAAAATTAAGATACCGGAATACAAATTAATTTCAAAAGGTACTGCAGACAGTACTGTACATTAGACATG